CCGGACCATTCATACGAACGTCCTTGGCCCAATCCAGTCCAAGGGTGGCCGCTATTGGCGCAACTGCTGGGTTGCCGGGCGATCCCGGACGCACGGGGTTTAGCATGTGCCTCCTCATAGCCTATACCTTGGAGCTATCGATGTGCGTTGAAACTCAGCGTCCGTGTACACCTCTCCACCAGCGATAGTGCCCACCTAGGTGTCGGCGATCCCCGCCGTGTGTGTTGGTGGTCTGCTGATAGCGTGCGCTGTGTGTTGCAGTCGTTCCGCCGCGGGGCGTGGTGCAGCGCTTGCCGGCGCCCGTGCTGCTCGCCGGAGGCGAGGGCGCGGGCGATGGCGAGGGCGTGGACGCTGTGGGCGTGGTGGCGCGGCTGCGCGGCGCGGCGGCGGAGGCTGCGCTGCTGCGCCCGGCGGCGCAGCGCCTGCGCGGGGAGGCCTGCCGCCAGGAGGCGCTGCTCTTCCTGCACGCGCTGGAGCAGCGCAGCCCCTGGGCCGTGCAGAGTGGGTCTCGCGCCTCGACTCGCGCCTCGCTCTCACTTTTCGTCGTTTCCTTCTCGCCTTTCCCTCTCCCCCGTGTCCCTTGCCTCTCGCCTTGTGCTTCTCGCCTTTTCCTCTCGACCCACGTCTATCACCTTTCGCTTCTCGCCTCTGCCCTCTCGCCTCTGCCCTCTCGCCTCTGCCCTCTCGTCTCTGCCCTCTCGCCTCTGCCCTCTCGCCTCCTGTCATCTCTCGTCTCTGCCCTCTCGCCTCTGCCCTCTCGCCTCCTGTCATCTCTCGTCTCTCGCCTCTGGCTTCCTGTCTGCTAGCGAGCACAGTGCTGGTGCGAATTGACCGGGAGATGCCGGGAATCGTCCTCACCTGGGGAGGACAATGTAGGCTGCTAGAAAATAATTATTATCTCCTCGGCAGGGAAGCGATTAATGCATTTTAGGCTTCTCAATTATGGCTTGAAATCAAGGAATGTAAATGAAGGAAATTGGTTGAGGCATTTCCGAGTTCTTCGGACTCATTCATCCTCTTGCTGATGGTCTTCGTTTTACTCATCAGTTCTCAAGTCCCCTCCTCATTCTTTCATTGCTCCCCTTTGGAGTGAAATACCAATTCGCACCTGCACTGCACAGTGTTGCTAAGCTGTCGCGTAGGTGAAAGACTTTCCTGTGAGACATCTTCATCCAAAAAAACATGTATTTATCGTTTACGATCCATCCACCTTAAAACCTAATCGTGTTCAACGAGATAGAACAATAAAAATCTAGAGTGGCGATGTGTTCGCCATATTTGAAGCTTTTTGGAAGGACAATTGCCCTGTTTTCTGTGGACAACTTTAGAATGTTCGCGTAATGATGGATTCGACCAAAGTGTATTTACAAGATATGTAATATGTACAACGTGTTGAGTTTAGCCTAGAGTAATTGAAAGAATATTAAGTTTAAGTTTCGTCATGAAAATTATTCGTAATGGAAATGATTTTTTTGTATTTTCTACTTAGAGACGATTTAAAAAATTGAGTCGTACTGTTTTCATTATTAAGAATTATTATAACTTTAAATTATATTTATAACGCTACGACAAACTTTTTTTAAAACGGCAAACGAAGTTCTTTTAAAAAACGGAAACTGGCACCGAAATCACTTTCTTTAATAGGAGGGAAAACTGGCACCGAAATTGCTTTCTGCAAAGAAAAAACAGCTATGATTCGCTTTCGCCATGTAAACAGTTTTGTTTTGATTCTATGATCTCTTTATATTTACACACATCAACGTACCACCATTTTTGACAGACCCCTGAATCAAGGCCCCCCCTTTTCTCCATAAATCGGAACCCTGGCTGACCCCATCAATAATGTCTCCAGATGTGCATAACCATGTGACCCATTTATTCCTGTGCTGGCAGCGCGCCGCGTCGCTGTCCTTCAGAGGCATCGCCGGCAGGGCATTGCCTCCTGGCGCGCGGACCTCGAGTGGCCGCCCTATAACGCATGCCCACTGGCGTCACAGGGGTGGAACATGCTCTCCATTTGCTCAAACACAGTCTGCACTTCTTCTGGAAAAATACAGACTAGCTTTAGTGAGATATTCACTAGAAATCAATTTAACAAAATAAGGTCGCTTTTCAAATGTATTTTCTCCGAATAGTGTTTCGTAATCTATCATCTGCTTGAAGATCTAATCAATGTGCATTGTCCTTAAACATCCTACCCCCTACAAACACACACAAAGACAACGTTACATTGAGAGTTCATGCCGGCCACTATAGTGAGAGAACACATCCTACACAGAGAGGATGGATATTGCTACTGTAAGTACATATAATTCATTTAGTCAGCTTTCTGTACAAACACAGGTAACACAGAATCACATCCAGCATTAAAACTACTTCTCATTGTGCTTCTTTTCATCGTGAGTCATGAGTAAATATATTACATAACATTAAGTATTCGTCACATTGAGAAAACAAATTGAATACAAATGTTTTAGCTATAGAAACTAAGAAAAAAAAATCTTGAAAAGAAGATTATTTGAAAAATCAGTCAGGAATCTCAATGAATTGCACAGCACATCATACGTGCTTTATAATGTTCCGTAGGGGTCACAGACTTACGAAAACCCGAGCAAAAATCTGGAAGAAGCTGGATCGCTCGGCGAATTTTGATATTTAGAACGACGCCTTCCGGCGGTGGTTACTTACGCGAATTTGGTTTTAAGTAAATCGATCAACACTAGGCGAATAAGGGAGCAAACGGGCCACGGACCGCACGCGATCTTCCTTGTCCTTTCGTCCCCTCTTACACACACACATGCACTACACTCCCACAGTTGCCGGGAGACCGGTCGGAGGCTTACAGCTTGTCCCGACTGGGGCCGTGGCCCGCATGTGGGAAATGCAGTTTGGAGAAAACCCCGCAAGCCAACGGGTAGGTCGGCACCGGGTCTCACCATCCCGCGGGGGAAGATTAGCGCCACCTGCCGCGATCTAACGCCCTTGCCAGTTGTGTGAGTGAGTGAGTGAGTGGTGTTGGTGCGCAGTGCTGGAGGCGAGCGCGCCGGGGCTGCCGTCGGGGGCGCTGGCGGGGGCGTCGGCGGCGCTGGGCGACTGGGACGAGTGCGCAGCGCTGGGCGGCGCGCAGCCGGCGCCGCTGCGAACGCGCTTCTGCGCCGCGCGCCTCTTCCTGCCGCACCGCGCCGCCTCCGCGCTCCTCCCCGCGGTGAGCCCTCACTCCGGCTGGGGCGCTTTGCTGCTTTCACTCTTTCGGACGCGTTGCTTACACTAAGGCCGCCAAAGTAATTCAAATTTGGCGTCTAATCACGAATAAGAACAATGGCGCCCGCCTGCATTGTCTTAGCGGAAAGGACAACTTTGCTTACGCGCGCTCCCTTCGGGTGTCTGGGAGGTGGTACTCTCTCTCTTTGAAGTCATTCGAGAGAATATTCCTGGGGCAAATTATTTTTTTCTCTCTAATGCAGTTAGCAGATTTTGAGGAAAAATTAAGTATATCTCGAGTGCGGAACGTTTCAAATGTACCCCTTTTTCTGTTAATTTACAGTAAAGAATGTTTATAGTTGTTAATTTCGTGATTAGGCGCCAAATTTGAAGTAATTTGGCTGCCTAAGTGTAAACACACGTAGAATACAGAAAGGTGAGCCGTACTACTTGTGATGCGACATCCGTAATTAAACATCGATGTTTTCAAAATTAAAACATCGATGTTAATACATCGACCAAAAACGATCGATTTTTTTAACCATCGATGTTTTAAAGTTGGTTTATTCACCTCTAACCTTAAATTCGTACGCAACAAAATTCACATAACGGTGGTTCGGTTCATTAATTTATAATTAAGATTCAAGTGAAAACGATTTTAAAATCTCCCCCTCCTTGTGCGAAGTAGGGAAACGTATGAAATACAAAAGAGTGTTGCTGTTATCTCGGACGAGGGATAGTCTGCTCGATGAAAGTGTTTGGTTGGATTGAGAACATGAACCGACAGTGATCCGTCAATTTTATATCTTAAATTTAAACAATCTGATAGTAGAGATTTTTCCTTCACGAATCATCGAGCCCAGAAACATCGATGCTAATAAAACATCGGATTTTAAATAACGGTGTCTAAAAAATTCGATATTTACAAAACATCGACATCGATGTAGCATCCCCAACGCCTCCATGCCATCAGAGCTCACATCTCGTCTTCAAAAGAAAGACTTCACTCTAGTTTGGATTGCTAACAATTTTTCTTGCTTTTATATTTTGCTAGTATTTTCTCTGAGACGTAGAATAGAGAAAGTTATGTGATGTTTCAAAAAAATCAGATGATGACGAGATTAGTGGGTGCTGTTTCGTATGTTCGTCCGTCTTTCATATGTCCGTGTAAAACGCCAGCGACGAAACCGTACATAGGATTTTAATTGAAATTTGATATTCCTCCATCGATCTGGCGGATACCGCGTCTTCTTCAATCTGAAGCGGACATTTTAATTTCTGGGGGTATTTTACATGAAGCTCCAACGTCATTTTTAATTTTTTTCTGTCAGGTAGAGCAAAGTGTTTTTAAAAATAGCAGAGATTCAATTTTCATTAAAATATTGGAATTGTCGGAAATGTAATTGTTGTAATTTTTAGCAAAATATAGGTAACTTACTAAATTCATAAAACAATTTTCTCAAAAACAGCTCCACATTTTTTCTTTAATTGGTTTCCTCTTTCAATAAATCCTTTTCTCAATTTAATCATCATAAAATTGCATACATTTGATTTTTATTAACAACTTGTGTTTGTAAACTGTAATTTTGAGTTGCAAGATTTTTTCCAATCTGTTTTGCACCTTGAACATTGAAACCAGTGGTTTTGCAAGATATATTGTTATAACTGTTAGTGTTGATAGTTTAATTTAGCTCTATTAAGGGAATTTACTTCAGGAATGAAAATCAAAATTTTTTTAAGGGAGACTCTTTCACCTTTGCATCAATATTTGCTTGAAATGAAGTAAACCTGCGCTTCCCAGAGCATCGACATGAACAACGGGGTGACGAGAGACGACATCCTGGTGGGGGTGTGCGTCCCTGCCGCGTGCACCCACGGCGACGTTCAGCAGTTTCTGGCCGACGTCTTCGCGAGCGAACGAAATGTGTCCCTCGAAGCGGTGCAGGTGCGGGTGGACGAAGACATGTGCCAAACGCAGGAACCCTTTGAACTGGACTGGTTGGATGCTGTCTTTATGTGAGTTTATGTGAGATGCAAAACCGTAATTATATTTGCGTAGTTTCTTCTTGCTAATGACTGCAAGTTTTTTTCCTGAGATCTTTATAATCGATTTCTCCTGACACAAACAAATTTAATAGTTAGTAAAGTTGTTTTTGTAATTAGAGTTATTTGTGCTCCTCACACTTACAGAGCTATAATTTGTGTACTGTGCACCATGCTTGCCGTTTCTTCAACGTACGATGTAATGAGAGCGAGATGTAAAAAACAAAAGGACCCGGAGGAAAAAAGTAATTGCCTGTTAGGTTCTCAATTTTCTTTTTCAAATATGGGCGGCTATTTCCTGAATTGTTTTCATGAGATTAAAGTACTCAATTCCAGGTTTATGGCACAAGATTATCTTGACGTTTTCCCTTCCTTATAACTTCAAAAGACTTTTTGAGTTTGAGCCTTCAACTGACGGCTTGGATTGTCTGTATGGAATTAAATCAATCGCAATGCTGCTAATAATAAATGCCCATTCGATGATGTATGTTCTTGGAGGGCCAATTAGTAACACCGACTTTTTACAATGGGTAAGTTACTGCAAATCAAAACCTGAAATTTATGAGAATATGATCATGTAATACTTGTTATTTTTGGTGCAGTTTGTTCAACAGCCTCTCTCCGCCATCTTGAACAGCAATATGTTATACGTCGAGACATTTCTTTTCACCGGGGCATTTCTTCTGGCCCTTCATTTTCTCAAGCAGCTCTCCAAAAACACTTCAGTTAATCTTATTCAAGTATTTGTTCTTCGTTACTTAAGGTTTGTAGTTTTCTATTAAATGTTTAAACATTCTTACAAAAATGAGTCACCAAAAACCAATGACAAATTAGAGTAAGTTGCGTGTCCCTTTCTTCCCATTAATGTTAATAAAACTGAAGTGTTTGTCAGTGATTTCAAAATGTCTCTCTGTTAACTTATAAGATTATTTACATTGTCAAAAACACAGTTTTGACTTTCTGTTTCTGTGGGAGCATCTCAAAAAACGGCTCAACCTATTGTGTTTGGATTTTCGATGAAAGGCAGAAGTCTATAAGGTCTTATGTGGGCTAATTTTATCAGCTCATATAGGGTTCGAAGATAAAAAAGATCTGTTAGATCCTAAGAGCAGGGTGCGTCTGGCGATCAGAGCGGGGGGGGGCGGGATGGATGGAAGGGGAGAGTAGAGCGGGTCCTGAGAGGCGGGGCAGGGCCGAGCAGAGTACCACGTAGGCTTCCTTGGCTCGAGTTCATGACTTCCTGGCTGTCCGGGTGGCGCCGCGACGTTTGGCTGAAGGCGACGCTTTTCGCCTGCTCATATCGCAGGCTTCTTCAGGGTAGTGACGAGTCGGCCTCTCTGCCAACGACCCGGCGTCACCGGACAGCCTAGCAAATCAGGATGGGCGGGTTGGGGTGGGTTTGGTTGGGTGTGCGGTGCGGTTCGCGGGTAGTTCTGCGCCAGGGCGCGGGCGGTGCGGGCGGGGCGGGGGAGGGCGGGCGGGACGAGTTCCCAGGGAATATCGGACGTAAAGAATCCTGCAAAATACCCTATTGCTGGCTGGCGCGCGTGGGCGAACGCCCTCAGTGGGGCCCGCCCCCGCAAGCGGGGGTGGGGCCCGCGTTTTTGCAGGCTGACGCCGGCGTAAACGCGTTTGGTGGCGCTGGCCCAGCGACGCGCGCTGCGCTGGGCGGGGGCGGGGCCCCTTGGGCGGCGCGGGCGGCGGCGCGAGCGCGCCGCGCGTGCCTGGGCCTCGCTCTGGGCCAACCTAGCTCTACGTCAACAACTACGTCGCCACCGACGCTCTGGTACGCCACTCTCATGCTTGCTCTTCCGGCCACGTGACTAAAATACTAGCAACGCCGAGGTTGGAGGTGGCTCAGGGCCTTGAAAGGCCAAAAGTCCCTTGCTGCGCCTGTCACGGGGCAAGGTCTTCTAGGCTCCGAGTTCCGTATGGTTGTAGAATTTTCGACTCACTATATGACTAAATTGAATTTCCAGTCGCTGTCTCGAGGAGAATTCTAGCGGCGGGCTCTGATCAAGAGTTTTCCGTGGTTTCTCCGATCGACACCAGGCGAATGCCGGAGCTGTTTCCGAACAAACGGGCCGCGATCTGTGGTTTCTCTTCCTTCTCCTCTTCTCACTCCACTTACACATTCTGGTTTTCGGATATAAACTTGCGTGTTTCTCATCACTATCTGCATAAAATTGAACAATATTTGGAGCAGCGATAATAGATCTTTACCCTAGCGACTGAACAGCTCAAATGGTCCTTAAACATGGATTTCACAACTGAAAATCCGAGAACGTATTGTTGATGTGATTCCGATACTTTGGCATGCAGAGGAATGAAAAAGAAAGTTTTGCAAGAATTTGTATTCAGTATTAGTGACAAAAACTGTTTTTGTGTGAAATAAATGCCGATGTATCTAAATAACATGGCAATGTATTCGTGTATATTTTACTAACACTTACGATTTTTCCAAAATATATTCTCGATTTTCTGTTTTCAAGAGAATAATGATGTTTTTTATGCACAGCCAATGTCGTTGTAATTACTCAAATTTTAACGAGTGCTTTTAAAAATTTGCATAGTATTTTAACAAAAACACATAAAGTAATAGCAGTGTTCTAAAAAAATTGACATATAAAAAGAAACACAAATAGGAAGCTCCCTGTGGCTTTTGCAATGCAAGAGGCATTAAAATATTAATTTGAAGCAAATACAATGAACTAAATTAATAAATGTTACTCAAGGTGGGCCAGCGTAATTAGGAATATGTATTGTATTCCAGAATGTTCAGCTATAATAGGATTTATTTAATCGTGCACTTCAAATAAATCAGCTGTTGACGGTTTCATCCGATCAGGAGCTTCAACGTCCCCATAGTGACGTCACTGTAGCGGCATATACTCTCCCAATTGGATGAAACCACATCAGCTGATTTACGTCCAGTGCACGACTAAATAAATCCTACTGCAAATGTCTCTTCCTGGTGCTCACTACTCCTCTCTCCACTTCCGCGCCCAGTCACCGAGATATCGAGGAAACGTGAACCGAAACCCGGCCGCTGATAAAACGGATCATTTCCACTGTACGTGATGATGTTGAACAAACACTTTGTTTTACTGCTTCGAGGTCGAAATTGTATTTTCGGTTTTTATTTTACACATTGTGTGATTCGTTTTTGCCGCACTATTTTGTTGCGTTTACCCACAACAGACCTTTACCTTTTTATACATAATTTTAATTTTTTTGTTATAATTCTAAAATATTTATTTCTGAAATAAGCAAACTCAAGTTTGTATCTTAAATGTTGTCAAGAGTTCTATTCTGAAGCAGGGAAATAGTGATTAACAATCATCAGAAGTACCTCTTCTGATGTGTATCAAGAGGTAACACTGTTCTGAGAAGGTGGCCTTTGATCGAAAGGCATTAGTACAGATATTATTATTATTATTATTATTATTATTATTATTATTATTATTATTATTATTATTATTATTTTATTATAAGCAATCTTTCAACAATCTGCCTCTACACTGTCTATAAGACATTGCTTCGAAAAGTATGAGTGAAATCAAGTACGTGAGAACAGTAACTATTGCCCCTCAACGCGTTTCTAATAGCACACTGTTCTGTTCCCGGTCTCTCTGTTGCCGGCTTCTTTAATTTCATCGAGATCACGATTATTCTGATTAGCCAAGTATTGAGATTGAATATGCTGCTGAAGTGTGTTAAGTCCTCCTCAAGCCTCGAGCGATGTCAATGACTCCAGGAAGAGCGGCCTCTAGATAACGAAGATGTTCCCTTTTACTATCTGCATCTCCATGGCTCCTAGGCACGTGACTCGCATGTGGTGAAGAGGCCTGGAATGCTGTCGGAGACGTACGCATGTGAGGGGAACGTTCCAGTGCAAGACATACACAGCGGCGATAGCGACACGTGATAATTTGTTTATTTAACCTTATGGTCGCCCTATAACAACAAGGACGTCAGCGACCCTTATGTACATAACAATGCAAACAAGCAGAGGAATCACAGTTTTAACAAAAGTAAATATGGCAAAGTTACTCACACTGTCGATAATTGTAATACATATGATTAATAATATCACATATAATAATAATAATAATAATAATAATAATAATAATAATAATGTCATACATGGTAATTGTGCTTTCGAAACTCATCACACACACCCTTTATATACATTTTATATTTAAAATGCTATTTGTTTTCGTTTAGAAAGCAATTTGAGTTATCCATTGAACCAAATTTCGTGATTTTTGCAGTAAATGTAAGGTAAATGCAAGGATTCCAGATGTAGTATAGCTTACTATTTGTCACCGTTCACCACTTTTTTACTGAATAAAAGTTTTTGTGCCTTTTTCCGGCGCATTCTGCACTAGTCGATGTTGTTGATTTACGACAATTGACAGAATGAACCTAAAACGAATTAGACTTACCGGAGTATTTGATTTGCATTCCATAAGTATTATAATTGCTTGTATGGCAGAAAATGTAATTCTCTTTGCTGCGATGTAATCGCAAATTTAGCGTGCTGCTACATACAAAATATTTAATAAGATTCAAAATAATTTAGTTTTTACCCCAAAAATATCATAAAAAAGGTTTTTTCCTTGGTACCTCTTATTCAGCTTCATAATGAGGGAAAATGGTCACAAATATGTGCTGCGAAACATTACCCTTCTTGGAATTGCCTGCGTTTCATTTTTATGTCAATCTCGACTTCTCTCAATCTCCTCCGTTATGTTATATGAAGATGATAACATTCTTGGTGAAAAATCAATTATTAAATTGCAAATATTTGTTGGTTAAAATTACATTTTAAAAAGAGGCCACTGCTTTAAAATAATGTTTATGAGTTACACTGAGTATAAAATTTAAAAAAAATGTCGAATCATAACAGGCTCTGAAGGATATTAAATGTTAAATAAAGCTCTTGTAGCTAGAAATACGGGACATTGCCCATTTAAATTAGTAAACAAATCATTTCACAGCATGGATCACTGCATTAGACGCCCAGGCATTCAATCTTCGCGCCGCGACGACCCCGCTCCAACTTTTCCTCTCCCCGCAAAGTTGTTTTCTCGCGGGCAGACGGCTGGCTCCTAAGTGCAGAATGCCCCCAGGAGCAGGCGTTACGAAGGCCTGCCCTAGAAGTGTGTAACATTTCTTCTAAGATTCCTAAACAGTATTTACGTCGACCCTTAACACTTTGAGGTCCAAGTCCGACCTATACTCAGTTTCTCACACGTTTCCTCGTCTTTCGCGTGTGCATGAGTGTACATCGCTTCTGAGCACTGAAGAGTTGCCCTATTGATGTGTCTCTATTATGCTGCCATCGTTGGCTAATTTTATTATTATTTTGCGAAATGCAAGCCCATTATGTCACTTTTGGTAATAGTTTGCAGTGTTGGACGGAGTTCTGTACTGTAGTGCGTGTGTCGTGATTGATTGTTGCGCATAATTTTTATGCAGCAATTTTGTAATATATACAACTATAGCAATAAAGTATCAAAATTAGGACTTTTAATTTTTTCTCGTTTACTACGATTAAAAAAAGCTATCTTTCTAAAAATAGTAAGAGTGTGTGTTTTTTCAACAAAAACATTACGGATGTCACTTAAAATCCCTTTAAGTACCCTGGGTTCTGGGACCCAACCGGTCACCCTGCGCCTGGGACCCAGAGCGCCGTGAGCCTCAGCGACGTGTGTGTGCGCGCGCGCAGTGCATGTTCCAGTCGTGGTATCTGGCGGCCGACACGCAGCTGTTCGCGGCTGCGCTGGTGCTGCTGTGGGCGCTGGGGCAGCGACGGCGGGCGCGGCTCTGGGCGCTACTAGCGCTCCTGGCGGTCTCCGTCGGCGGCTGCTTCGTGGACGCGCTGCTGCGCCGCCACGATCCCACCATCCTCATGCGGCCCAAGTACGACAACGCCACACGCTTTCTCGCGTTGTTTGCGAAGGAAAGCCAACATTATAAAACGGCACGACCCCACCATTTTCATTCGCCCCAAGTACGCGCACCGCCTTTGAAAAGGAAGCCCAACGTCGTAATACTACTTGAAGCAGCGAAAGAGTTTCCTCTCAGCAGCTATTTTTTTCTTTGCTGGGATTTTAACTGAGTTTTTTAAATATAGCGAGCCCTCAATGCTTCTAGATCACACACTTCATTATGAGGTTTATGAGGCTTATGAGCTTTAATGCATCTCACTGCAAAGTTTGTGGCTCGGTGGTGCAAAGTTTCCACTCCCAACAGTGACGGCATCTTTGACACTAGCTACAGAACGAAGTGGAATTCAGTCTCTGTCTGGAGGAGGTGCCGGATGCTTTGATCGGTAGTTTTCCATGGTTTCTCTGATCAACACCAGACGAATGCCAGGCAGAACCGTAACAAACGGGCCACGGACCGGCTTTCGATGGCTTTGCCGAGATTTTGCTTTGCTTCATCAGTCTCCCGACTTTCGTCACACACAGTGAGACCGATGATGACGCCAAAGCCGGCTCTCAAAATAAATATATTAAGTTGTCGGAGATGTCCATTATTTCTTCTTTAAGCGTTTATTGATGTGATTAAGCGGTTGATACAAAAACAGAGAAGTGATTGAGATCTTGTTGCCTGTTTCGCCCTTTAGGGACGTGGAGGACCTGCCCACCGATGACGCCTTCGTGAACGCCTACATCAAGACGCACCTGCGAGCGACCTCTTACATCTGCGGGCTGCTGCTGGGCCACTGGCTGCACGACTTCCTCGAGAGCGGCCGAAAGTTCTCCAAGGTGCGAGAGAAGGATTTTTAGGTTATTTATTGTCGAGTCAAATCAATGGTTGTTAGTGAAAATTGATTTTTACATGTGGTTGCAGGAGTAAAGATATTCAGTTATGATAACATTATATGAAATTTACAATAATACTAATAGTGTTGACTTTTCCATCAACACCAATATTTAGTGGTTTAAGTCATGAAAAAACAATATTAAGTAGGTCACAGCACGGAAAATTTATACAGTTACATTTAATACATATTGAACTTGGTCTTAGAAAACAGAAACTTTACTTTGGAGACATACAGAGAGACATAGTTCGATACCATTGAAGATTTCAGTTTCTTTTCAAAATTGTTTGCTTTTTTCCTGGTATTCAGGGGAATCCAGAATTAATTCAAATATGGCTGAGGAAGAGTATTGCCTTTCTCCAGCTTTGATTGCTTTTCTCACTAATGGCCATATTTTTTATCCGGACAACCTGTCTGTGGGCTCTTAATACTGTCAAATATGACAAACTGAATTGTTATGTATTCTTTTGTTACGTTTTTCTCTTTGAAAGCATGTTTCGTGTGTTCTTCATGGGATGCTTTTTGGCGTCACGTTGTTCGAGTCTCAGTACACCTAGAATGCAGGCCCATTTCATCCTTCTAGCGTACAGCTGGGAATAATTCTGTGAGGATGGTTCTAGCGAACATACTTGACGTATTCATAAAAACGGGTTCGCACAGTGCAAACAACAGCTTATTGGGCATTCGTTTACTATGATCCAGATCAACTTGCTCCATTAACCAACTAAGCCAGTTCAACAAAATACAACACATTGTAGAAAGTAAATTACATCGTAGAAAACAGAGTTTGCTTCAGTCTTCGTACCCAGTCTACACTCTACTACACAATTATGGAGTGAAATGTGTTTCGACCTCTACACGTCAACGCAGAGGCCGGTTTCCCATCGCTCGTGAAATGACACGAGCTGGGGAGGGGGGCACTTAAAAGGCTGATTGCTCAACTTTTCAGTTTGAAACCATTAAAGGGTACGTAATATTCCAAATGAGACAAGAAGATTTTTTATTAAAAAAGACAATAAGAAGCTTCAGATTTTAAGTGTGACGATTCGAGTAGCAAATTTTTGTCCCTTCAGGGCACACTCGACAGCAGCGTTTATGGTTCTGCTGGCCACTAATTCTGAAGCAAATGAAATGTTTGCGAACTTTCTCCATAATAGCTCGGGTAATAGTGTCTCAGAATACGTTACAAACTCCTAGAGCATCTAGAGGAGTACAAAATGGTCTCTGTCTGACTGAAGATGTAATGGAAAATTGCATGAATCGGAGTTACATTAATACATACATTTGACCCAGATGGTTAGGAAATCTGGTATCGAGAAATGTTTGGTAGGTACACGAGATCTTGTCTGCGTTAGAACGTGCCATGTGCTAAAGGAGTTGCCGTTAAAATAACATACACCGTTATACATGTCCAATTAAATTCAATTTAGTGATGCCTTATTTTCCGTGGTGAGGCTCAGGCCATCAGGCCTGCTCTTCCGTCTGATCACGCAAATTCCGCTGCGCGCCTTTCACAGAGAGAAGAGAGATCTCTCGGTTGACTAAATTGTCGATTTTAATTTTGCTCAGAGGATTTTTTAGGCTTGAAGACACTTTACATGCTGTAAATCTACATCAGACAGCCCGCTTTACTTCCGCTCCCAAGGAATGCCTACCAAGGACTTTTTTGCCTTTAAATGTCTTCGGAGTTGAACCCGCGAACTTGGATATAACAGTTGGATACGATAATCATTTCTCCATCTAAGATACAGTTTTAAGAAATTTCCCATTACATGTTCATTGAAAAAAAAAAGTGATTACTTTCGACCCCTCTGCCTAGAAGTTTTTAACATTTATTCTGAGACGTATTTCAACATTACCAGCTTAGGACTCGATCACTTTGACGTCCTATCTTGGGCATTTCCGGGACCACGCAGGTGCGCAGAGCGGGTTCTGGCGTCAGGGTGTTTGCGAGGCAGCGCGTGTGTCCGCTTGCAGCGCGCGGCGGCGGCGTGCTGGGCGCTGGCGGCGGGCGCGGGGCTGGCCGCCGTGTTCAGCGTGCTCGTCTTCTACTGGCCCTTCCGCGCCTACTCGCGCCTCGACAGCGCCCTCTACGCAGGCGCCGTGCGCCTCGCCTGGAGCGCCTGCGTGGGGTGGACCGTCTTCGCCTGCGCCGCCCACCGCGCAGGTACGCGCAGCCACGCGCTAAGCCACGCGCTAAGCCACGCGCTAAGCCACGCGCTAAGCCACGCGCTAAGCCACGCGGTTGGACTCGTTGATTAATGTGAGAGAATGATGATGTTGACGTAATCAATTGACATTCCCCAGACAGCTGGACGAACAGACGTTTGGCTATCAATCGTCCGCCGTACCGGGAGAGCAGTCGAGTGCTTTGACCTTGTCGAGGCTGGGGCGGTGGCCCTCCTGGTTGACCGGGACAAGCCCAAGCACTCGACATACCGCCATCTCCCAGTATGGCAGACGATTCATAGCCAAACGTCTGGTCGTTCATCTATCTGAGGAACATCAATTTTCACCAAAATTGATATTCCTCAATCGATTTTTTGGGTGTGTACTTTAATTAAAACAATGCTCGAAATGTTTTTATTACATTTTCTCCTCGGATAGCGTAAAGATAGATTAACAGAATGATTCACATCTAATTTTCGTTAACATTCCTGACGCCACTGCGCTTCAAGTGGCGGGATAAGCCACTAACTGCCAATGCGCCACTCGAGTGAATTCTTCCATTTCGATCAATGCTCCCTCAGCAAACACGCTGCTCTGAAGCGCTTTCGCGTGGCTCCGCATGAAAGGGCTCTGAGCACCTGTGGCTGAGCGTGAAGGCCGGTGGCGCCGCTGAAGGGGGTGGGTGGCGCAGGGCCGGTGCGGCGGATGCTGAGCTGCCGCGCGCTGGTGCCGCTGGGCCGCCTCTCCTACTGCGCCTACCTCGTCAACGGGCTGGTGGGGCTGCGCGGGATGGGGGCGCAGCGCACGCCCATCCACGTCGACGCCCTCTCGCTGGTGAGCCCTGTTGCAATGCAGGCTTCGGTTAAAGTAGGCTACACGGTACACCATCAGAGAAGCGTGGCGGCGGGGTCTCCGTAAGCCCTCCCTCAAATTACACTACGCGCTTTGATAGAAATGAATGAAACTTATGGATAGGCGATTTTCATGTCTCGCCATTCATACGGTTTGTTCCCACCGCATTGTAATACCAATTTACTTTCAAAGGCAAGTTCTCTCGCTTCGCTCGCCCGCATCCAAGTCACGGCGAGGCTCGGGCCTTTGCCCCTCGCCTTCACTTTAAACATCCTTGAGCCTATCCACCGCACAATTACCAATTCACTTTTATAAGGAATAAGACTTTTCAAGAAAGCCTCCAGAATTCAAACTGCACAGTTATCGCCGGAGCGGCGCGAAGGGCCGGTTTAAATTTCTGTAAGTTGTACCGTATACTAGACTTCAGCCCGGCCCTCATTTACGCCATTAGATACTGCCATTTTGACTCTTTATGGACAATGTATTACTGCCATTTTGGATCTGACCGGGAATTCACGCCTTACAATGCAATAAATAATATCCAAACCACCAGTAATAAACGGAGTTTAACACATAAATCAGTTGCTCTCATATGCCGTTTTCAAGATGAAAATTCTTCAAGTCAAATAAAAGTCATGGTTCTTATTCAGATATTTTAATAGCCTTGTCACCTAAAGTGAAATGTAAGTTTTATAAAATGTGATTGCTGTTGTAGATAAAGGCGTATGTGAGTGATGCTGTGCTGACGTACGTGGCCGCCCTGGTGCTCAGCCTGCTTATCGATTCCCCCATGCAGGCGCTCTCAGGGCTTCTCGCTGGCAGAGGTAGGGAAGTTCTATTTATTTCATTTATTTTATTTACTTTTAGGGAACATTCAAATTGTTCACTTCTCATCATGTGCATACACGAATAATATTCTTCATAGATGTTTCCGATTGAATACTTGTTTTTACTTGCTACAGTACACTCTTCATTGACCAAGACATTTTTGTTGAAAACATTGCTTGCTATCTTAAAGCAATAAAGTGTTAACTTCCCCGAAAACCTTGTATTATAGCAGTTCACGTCAAATTCACCTATTTCAGTATCAACTACGTTAGTATTGGCATCTTGGGTCTTGATACTTTTTTTATCACTTTGTGTCGTGGGAGAAGATGCATATTGATTGAGATTTATGACTTTAAAATAACGAGTTTTCTGTTGAAAAATAGCCACTTTCCGCTATAGCAATACATTACGTTGTCTTTCAACGTGAGTACGTCGTTGGCGAGAAAGTAAAGAGTTTTTTTTAAAAAGCGGGAAGAAAGACAGATATGATATACCCACTTTTTGTGAGGAACCAATTACTGGAAGACAGAGACGATTTCAGTCACTTTAAGAACGTGCGCGACGTCGAATGGTTAAAATTGTGGCCCACGTCGAAAGAAACCGAGTTGGAGGCCAAGGCCCCATAAAATATACCCACTACAAAATTAAAAAGAGATTTCTTCCAAATTATGTTTATGCAAGTGGTACTGTGTACTTCTATATTTCACAACATGTCCTCCTGCCAAAATAAAAAAAAATAAAACTAATATGCCATACTTGTGAATTTTAAATATATTTTACAATGAATATTAAAACTCTTAAAAATATGTTTTTATAATTTTTTTTACTTACATGAAGATGACAAGTTAAAGCCATATTTGATTAATTCCAGTTTCAACATTTGACTGATCGAATTAATTTAATATACAATCAAATGAAAATCCATTAGTTAACGGCCGAATCTGCAGTTTTTAATTTTGACTATTATATTATTCCTTTTTAAGTTTTTATGTTTGCATTAAATAAATTGTTGCTTCAAGCCTTCCATTGCTGGTCAAAACTTATCTTATGTGAGAAAATGTTCTTTCTCAAAGTGGCAGTAGTTGTCGTCTCCTTTTGACCATCAGTTAAAAATTAGACGCAATAATTCCATTGATAATAACATATCCTAAGGTGTATTGGTACTTAAAAATTATAGACCCTGTACAAATGATATCAATTTTCAATCATTGTAAACACTATTAACAAACTAATTATATTTAATTTTACCTTACAGGGCGGGGGACTAAAGAAGAATTAAACACAATACAGAATGGAACAAAGTTTATAGACAATGTGGCAACTAAATAAAAACAATAACCCCCATTGTAAAGTTGATCTCATTAAAATAGAGTACAATACATTACAAAAGCATTTATCGTGGCGAAAGAAATGCACCCAGCTTTGTACGTTTAGAGATCCAGAGTCATCTTAATTTTCTTGTAACTATTGTGAGGAACAATGGTAAAATTTAACTATATCAGAAGGTAACTCATCTAAAGAGAATGTACTACATTGTACTACTTTCAAAATAACTATTATGTATTATTTTTATTTGGAATATGACTATAACATTATAAAGACAATAACATAATGTTCTTACAAAAATATTTAATAAATAAATTACCCAACATAGAATTTCACTCACAATTATTTACAAATAAAAGCAGAAATAACATACTTGCAAATACAAATATCCTCTTGTGTGGTATTCATTTTCATACATTCAGGCAACTCCAAATTATGGTGTGTGAGTATATGTGTGTACGTTGAAAAAATAAATATCTCTATTATAAAAAAGCGAAAAATATAATTGAAATATTGTTTGAAAATGATACTCTGAGATCTTTCTTTATCATTAAGTTTAAATAGTTTGTGATCTTTAAACATCAATAGCCTGTCAATATATTTGTATATCCACTGAAAAGTAATTAATTTGAAATTATATATTCGAATAGCTGCCATTCTCTCACTTTCACACAAAAGTACAATTAATCTATGAAATGTCACAGCACGTCTGTATAAATACTGTAAAAAAATTCTAGTTCATTAAAGTTATATTTAAGGATTACAATGTCTTTTTAAAATCATTTTTTCTTTGCTCCACACTCTTCTTAGATCTTGTATCTGAAATAAAATATTACAGTAAGTTTACGCATAAATGCAGATATTCATAATACATTAAACATCAAGATTTTGATTCATCACGTGGACTAAAATGAGATATATAGAATCAAAGTTACTTACCACTCGTTAAAAGAATATTTTTGATTTCTTGCATTGGAAAATCAAATATCAAAGTCATGACGACGGAGAGAGCAATTACCACAATGAATTCCACAGGATCGATCTTTGAAAGAAAAAATATCAATTAGCTCGGAATTTAACTTCGAGCACAAGCAACACAATGAGCAAAAGACTTATTACAAAAGTTAAGTTCGTTAATAAAGAAGCTAATATAGTGAGTTTTCTTAAGTTCGAGAAGTTTTTAAATAGAAAGATTTGTGAATGTATGTTTACCCACTGTGTAGAAATCGTCAAACACATGTGTTCTTTCACAAAGTATATCAGTGGTTATAATTGTGTTTGACATTACGTTTTGAACCCGAGGAGGGGCGCGTAGAAGAATTTAGACCCCAGTCATTATTTCATGTATAATTTTGTTTGAGAATGTCGTATGATTCGTCCTTGAGATTTTGAGTACCTGTCCTATAATATTTTATCGATAAAATATATTACTCGTCTCGTGATTGCAGCCCGGCTGTTAATTCTCAGAAATATAGTTCGTCTCGCGCGTGTCTCTGGGGTCGAAAAGCTCCCGGGCGCACTTCTACGTTAGACCCATGTTCACAAGCGAATCCGACCGGCGAACCGCGAACAGAGACCTTGAGGCCACTTCCATTTCCTGTGGCACAATCCACGTTGGAACAATCTAATTTCAGGAGCGTAATACATTCCTTATACTTTTAGAAATCACCGGAAACAAGAATTGGAGACGTAAGTTTGCAAAGTATTCTCCTTGGGTTTATTCACGTGGTTGGTTTTCAGCAAACTTCATTCAATTGTATCTCTCTAAATGATGTAATTCACTTTTTTAAAAAAACTGAGTAATTGTGGAGTAATAACATCAAGAGGAGGAAAAGTTTCGGTATGATGCACATTCCCACGAGTTTTTCGAGAAAAGAATTCCATAACTTGTGAATAGAAACCAGTGGTGGCTTCTTGGAACAGAAAATAAACATAGCATCTTCTCGGATGAATATCGTATACTTTAATACAATTCACCCATAGTTTTGTTTAAATAACCTTTTGTTTCCGTAATGATGTTTCATCTGTAAATATAATTGTAGAATGTGACTTCGACCCTATTGCCGCTAAAATGAAATGTCTTCTCATTGTGAGAACATTTCATGTTATCTCTGACTATATGACTTCGTTAAAAACATGAATAGTTTTTGCCTAATTTTAAGTATATGTCGTTTGAGTTTTATGAATGATGGTGCAGTATTAGTAGGGTGGAAGACGCGATTTAAAAATTACGTGGTCACTATTACCCATGGCACGAGAAGGTATGTGCTGTTCCACCACTAGTTTTAAGTACGATATCTAGCATTGAAAAAATTAAAACATGGTCTACATAATTACCTAGCACTTACTTGCCTAAGATTCATAAATATTTGAGCTTCTAATGCATTGCAATTCATAAACCATTTTCCTCTTTTATAATTGTAAAAACTGTTTGTACTGCAGATATTCAGATTCGGTAGTCGCGCAGTCTAGTACTTTAAAGGTGGATAATAATTTCTGTGCTTTACCCTTTATGAACAGATAATTGTGGTGTTTAGATCATTTTACATAAAACCAATCAGAGTAATGAAATAAATGTACTTACGCCTTTTAGTATTGTGAATTGTTCAGACGTTCTTGTTACTCCAACGTTGTAGAAGAAAACGGCGAACTGTGTAAGATACACTGCATACGATATTCTGCTGAAGATCACTAAGGGTTTAATGCTGAGAAAGGTGTTCAAATATCCTAAAAAGACGAATAAACTATTACTAAGTATTGATAAATATTCTAAATATCAATTACTACGAATATGAAATTTTATTTTACTTTCTCGCCCTTACAACGAAAGAAGATAATGTATGTTTTTTAACCGTGTACCGGAAATGGAAAATTTTTTTACAGGAAAAGTCTTATTGCTAGGCCTAGGTAACGAAAAGGGTGAAAGAAAATGAGATCTGCTCCATTCATTTAATCGTTTTTTGATTTCTCCGAGAAAAAATTGAAGAAAAAAGTTTGAGTGGCTTTCTAGAAAAGTTTGTTTTGTAAAATTTGTATTAATTTTACGCAGGGATTGCGAGAAAAGTACTCGTTTTTTAAACAAAATGTACATCACCTTTCTTATAGAGCTGATTTTTATAACAGATTTTAAGACAAAATCTCTAACTTCAAGTTTGTGCTTTTGAAATGTTACCTATGTTTTCAATTTAAAAAAAAATCATAGTTCCTCGGATATGGAAGTATACTTGAATTTATTCAGAGCTGCCTGTGAAGTATATCAGCTGTTACGGTGTCATCTAATAAAAAGTTTGAATGTCACCATTGTGACGTCACTATAGTGACGTAAAGGCTTCCGATTGGATGACACCGTAGCATCTGATGACTTGTCAGTGATAGCTGTTAATAAATCGCGGCATAGCGACCATTTTACTTTTTTGTGATGTATGCAAGGGAAAAATGTTTAAAATTTCCTTATATTTCACGCAAAATTATACGAAACCTACTCACATTTTCAAAACATTGTACATGACGTTAAATCTAGATTTATCTTGTATATCTATCTTTTATATTTCAATATAAAAAACTCACTCTTCAATATTGTATTCAAAATTATATTTCACAGGAACAAATCTCTAACTTCATTTCTGTAGTGGTAGGAAGAACCCGAAAAAATTGTTAACTTCAGTAATTTTCGTTAACTTTCGGATTTTAATGAAAATGAGACCTGCGCTATTCTTTTAAGCGTTCTTTATATTATGTGAGAACAAAGTGTAATAAAAAAGTTGAAGCTCCTTTACAACAGTTTTGAAAATGCAAATGAGACTTCATGAAAAGTGCTCCCAAAAATTAAAATATTCTTTTCTAAATGAGAGTGTTACGAGTTCATTTCAATTGTTTGGTGAATGTCAATTTTGGAGGCAATCCGGTGAACGGTTTAAACGTTCGCGTTGACCACAGACTGTCAGACTGATTTGCCGTCAAACAAGTTTTCGGTAACGAGAACTCACAAAACATAGATTATGACTATAGAACTTGCTAGAGAAGTACTTTATTTATTATAGGAACAAGATTATCCACTTTTTTGTTACCAAGGCCCAGCAATAAAAGTTATTCAGCCAAAATCGCTATTCTGAGGAAAATGTGAGCCGTTTTCTGGCTCGCAATTAC